CTTTGTCCAAGCACCAGGTGAATGCACAAACCCAGACCAGCCTGTTTGGTGAAAGAGAGACTAAACGGAACAGAGTTGATCTGTGTCATCCTAGAGCATCCTACACCAGCCAACCCCAAGCTATCTCAGCACTGGACTGAGCCAGAGGAAATCAGAACCTGCCTAGCTGAGTCCATCCCACGTTGCCAACCTGGAGACCTGTGAGCTAAATAAATACTTGTTCTAACAGTGAAATTTATCTGATACAATGTGTGCAGATATTTCTTTAGATTTTTTTCAAACTTTAGCTTGTATCAGTATCAGCTGGTGGGATTTTAAACTCACTGATTTGCTGAGTACCACTCACCACTCTGATTTAGTAGATCTGAGTGGGACTTGAGCATTTGCATTTCTAACAAGTTCTCAGGCAATGCTAATAATGCTAGGGCCATACTTGGGAAGTCACTGCTCTAGAATATATAACCTAAAAATGGTGTTGCTGGGTCATGAATTATAAGCATGATTAATAGCTAATAGATACTCCCCAACTACCATCCAAAGTGGATATATGCTCAGGGCGTCTCTGGTGGCTCAGTGGTAAAGAATCTGCCTGCCAATTCAGGGGACTCGGGTTCGATCCCTGGTCCGGGAAGATTCCTACATACCGAGGGACAACTAAGTCTGTGCGACACAACTACTGAAGCCCACGCACTTAGAGCCCATGCTCTGCAACAAGATAAACCCCTGCAGGGAGAAGCCTGCACACTGCACCTGGAGAGTAGCCCCCGCTTGCCACAACTGAAGAGGGCCCACGTACAGCAGTGAAGACCCATCACGGCCATAGATAAATAAATTTTTTTTAATAAATTTTTAAAAAAACACTTAAAAAAAAAACCAAAGTGTATCCTTATAGAAAACTTAAGGGGTAAAAGAAAAAGCCACTGAAACAAAATTTTTAAACCAGATAGTATGAGGAATAAATGTGAAAACGAAAGTAGCAGTGTGAAGGAGGAAATAACTCAGTAATTCTTGGGGTTGGAAGGTGGAACAAGAAACTGATTAACAGTAATACTTATGACCAAAGCACAGAATATGAATGATGAAGTAAACCTGAAATGTTAAGCCAAGAAAATAAATAGTATTTCATAATACTACATATTAGAGTATATGCTAGAGCAGGATGAGAAGCTGCTCTAGAAGAGAATTCCTTTTTCGAAGGAAGTGACGGGGGCGGGGGGGTGGGGGGGGTGGAGAGAGATAAGATCCAGAGTGGTCATTCTGCAGCCTCATCCCTCACCTCACTTTCCTTAGTTCTCCATGCCAGTTTCCATGGTTATCTTTTACTTCCTTTCTTGAAACCTCCTCTCTCCCACCACAGGGCCTTTGCACTTACTGATTCCTGTGCATGGAATACTTCCTCTTTCTTTCTGCCCTTATTTAACCAAGTTAATTTCTATTTAATGTTTTAGATCTAATTTCACTTAATCGGGAAAGCCTAATCTCCCAGACTAGATGAAATTTCACCATTATAAACTCTCAACACACTGCATTTCTCCTACACGGCATTTAATATAGTTGGGATTTTGTCTTTATTTTTGTGTTTATGTGACTGATGACTGCCTTACCCTCCAGCCTGTGAGTTTCAGGAGGGCTGAAACTGTGTCTCTTCTCATCACCATTGTAATCTCAATATCAACTTTGGCAAAGAGTAGATATCCATAAATATGTGTTGCATGAGTAAAATAGGGCTTACAAAAAGCTTTTAGTGAACCTGAGGTCAAGAACCTGAGGTCAATGAGAAACATTCAGAAGAGGGGAAAAAAGAGGAGGAAACAGAAGTATTATCTTCAGGATACCACACAGTAGTGGGTCACAGAATAGCAATGATGAGCTCCCATTTGTTTAAACAACCATATCAAAAGAGTACTAGCGAGTGGACCTCTGATCCCCTGGAGAGAAGTTTCCATTGGTGTACTGGTGGATCCTATCTAAGGTCGAGCCTTTTTCAGTATTTTTGAATTAGAAAGTTTGCCTGTACCATGTTTGCAGATAACATGAGAGTCAAAAGGTTTATTTTGCCATAATTCAGATGAAAAATAATACCCAGAACTACAAAGTCAAAACCAATAAAGTAAAGGTGAATAAAGATACATATTAAATCAATCTTGCAGGTACCTGATTATATAAGAGAAGCTGGGTTTGACTACCTGGTTTATATAAAGATTTGATTGCTGACAACAAATTCATAATGAGGAAATGCTGTGAGTCAATTGGTAAGAATGGTAACTGTCCAGAGAATGGGAACTGATGGTCTCACTTTACTGGTAGATTTTTGAGTACTATATCCAGTTCTTAGAGCTAGTTTGAGGCCTGGAAACCTTGAGATAGGAAGAATAGCATCTGGAGGCAATTAGCCTGCAAAAATAAACACTAGAGGAAAAACACAAACTGATCTTGGATAGAGACAGCTCAGCAAATGTGTACCTCCAGCTCAGGAAGAGATACTCTTTCTAAAGCTCTCATAATTTTTTATTTTTATGATTTCTGATAAGTTCTTTTTCATCTTATGTTCTTGTTTCACTTATTTCATAATTCCTTGTTTGTGAATATTATAATTCATTTCTCTGAGAATTCTTTGAAAAAAGCTTTTGTTTTCTATTAATCCATGTCTAACCAGTGAATGGCTTCTATTCTTTTAAGTATTTTTACCTGGTTGTGTCAGGTCTTAGTTGCAGCATGCAGGATCTTCCTTGCAGCACGCGGGCTTCTCTCTAGTTGTGGCACGTGGGCTCAGTAGTTGCAGTCAGCAGGCTTAGTTGCCCCACAGCAAGTGGGATCTTAGTTCCCTGCTGCTGCTGCTAAGTCCCATCAGTCATGCCCAACTCTGTGCGACCCCACAGACGGCAGCCCACCAGGCTCCCGTCCCTGGGATTCTCCAGGCAAGAACACTGGAGTAGGTTGCCCTTGCCTTCTCCTTAGTTCCCTGACTAGGGATCAAACCTGTGTGTCCTGTATTGGAAGGCAGATTCTTATCCACTGGACACCAGAGAGGTCTCCCCTTTTTTCTCTTTTCCTGTAGATGATTTTAATGCTTTTGTTTGCCTGAGCTGATTTCGCTTCTTGATTACTGATTTTGGTGCCAGTCTTTCTTAAAAATATTTTCCTTATGTGTTTCAGAAATTTGGTTTGCAGGTTTACTTTTAGTGGGAAAATTCCCTTCTTCTTTTGCTGTCCTCTGCTTTTCCTGTCATCCCACTCCTCTTCCGTCTCGTGGTTTACTTTTCTTCTATTTGGTTTCTGTGGCTCCCAATCCAGAGAGAGCTGAAATATTGGAGCTCTAGGCTCCTGCCTCACAGTGATAGTAAAAACCCTGCCACCATGTCAGCCAGCTGCTTGATTAAGTTGCCTCCTAGGCCCTTGATTTTCACAGAGAACATCTATTCTTCATTACCTTCACAGAAGCCATACTTTGAGTGGCTCTCCCTACTTCCAAAACTGTAGAAGTCCACCAGGATCTTGGCTTTTGCTCTCTATATGGCTCTGTGCTTCTGATTCAAGGAGAGGTGAAGAGTGCATAACATATATAGTATAATTTTTAAAAGAATGATAAAATGAGAATTTATTGTAACCACTATTGGCTATGTCTTTTACATTCTTTGTACTTTTCTCTCTCACTGAGATGTGCTTGGAGTAGCGGGGTCCCCTATAACAGGAACCTCCAATACCATCCTGCCAGAGTACACCCTGTCCTCTCTAACAGCAGGTGGTGCTCCAGGGTCCTCAGTGACTTTCACTGCAAAAACCTTTGGGTCCTAGGATACCCTGGTCTCTTCAGGGTTGTAGGCTTTATAAACAGCCCGTCACTATATAGTTATTTAGCTCCAGTATCTTCTGACTAGATGTGCTTACTATTAAAATTAAATAATAGCTCAAGATGTTTGGGCTTCCCTGGTGGCTCAGATGGTGAAGAATCTGCCTGCAATGCGGGAGACCCAGGTTTGATCCCTGGGTCAGGAAGCTCCTTGGAGAAGGAAATGGCAACCCACTCCAGTATTCTTACCTGGAGAATTCCATAGACAGAGGAGCCTAGCGGGCTGCAGTCCATGGAGTCGCAGAGTCGGACATGACTGAGTGACTAACACTTTCATTTTTTCAAGGTGTTCACAACTTTTTCTCTTCACAATAGCTTGTCAAGTCTGTGAATTCTCTCTACAAATTCCACGTGTAAGGAAAGACAGGCTCATTTTATACATTGTGTATGCTGCCCCAGTGCTAAGGCTTACAAGCTTTCAGAAATCTTTGGGAAATATATACATATATTTATTATTTATTTAAATAATTTAATACATAAAATAATATTAAATAGATTTAATACATAATATTAAATATTTTTATTTTAAAAATACTACAATATTTAAAATATACTATAGGTAATATGTAATATATAAAAGATAATTATATATCCAGAAGTAATGAATGTTTATCTTCAAAATTAACATCTCATTAAATGTTGTTAGGATTATACACCTTTTACATTTTATGGTAACTTGAGGTTAGGTTTCTTATTTCACAAAAACCTGATCATCTACAGCTGTCAGAGATCATAGCTAACTACAAATTACATGATACTTTCGGCCTGGTAAGAAATCAGATTAGTTGAGTGAAACAAAGTGTTGTGTGCATTGGGGCTCCAGGTGTGGAGAGAGGTCCTAGGGACGGGGCCTACGAACGCTTCTGTGAGGAGGCGACACCGGATCTAAGAGGAGGCAGAGGAGGGGAAACTGGAGGGCAGGGAGAAAGATGAAGAAATATCGAGAAAGAGACAAGACAAAGTTACAAAAGGAAAAGAGGAAGGACTCGATGCTATCGGCTCTCCGTCCATCGGGCCTTGACTGCTAGGGCCTGAGCGCAGTCACCGCCCCCCTCCCTTCCCCTCCCCCCCCCCTCCCATCCCTTCCGAGAGCCTCAGCCGCCAGCCCGGCCTGCGGGAGCTCTGAAGCTGCTGGCTCGCCAGAGACACCATGTACCGGCTTCTGTCAGCAGTGACGGCCAGGGCCGCGACCACCGGGGGCTGCGCCTGGGGCTGTGGGCGGCGTGCGGTTCATCAGCGCGCCGGGCTGCCGCCACTCGGCCCCGGGTGGGTCGGGGGCCTCGGGCTGGGGCTGGGGCTGGCACTTGGGGTGAAACTGGCCGGCGGGCTGAGGGGCGCATCCCCCGCGCCACCTGCCGCGGCCCCAGACCCCGAGGCGCCGCCTCAGGCCGAGCCGCTGCAGCCGCAGGAACAGCCCCTCGCCCCGTGGTCTCCGCAGACCCCGGCGCCGCCGCACGCCAGGCACTTCGCCAGAGCCATCGACAGCAGCCGCGACCTCCTGCACAGGATCAAGGTGGAGCGACCGGGGGCGTAGGCAGCCGGGAACCCGGCGTCACCCCGGAATAATGAGGCCCCTTGGTGGTTATTCTTCGGGGCGAGCGGACCCCAGCCCGGTGGCGAGAAAGACTTCCCGTTTCCCGTTCTCCCGGCCATGGTCAGAAGCTGTTGGGAGGTTGCCCCAGTCGGGGCGGAGGTCAAGGTCCGCCCCTTCCCCCTCAGGGTGCCGGGCAGGCACACCCCTCACCGTTAGCGCCCGGCCAGCTGGCGCCGAGGTGGGCGGGGCCCGGACCTAGGGGGCGTGGTGGGGCGGGGCCGAGGGAAGCCCTAGAGGAAGGCGCTGGCGGACCTGCAGCGGATTTCGGCTTGTCTTCAACTGTGCTCTTGAACTGTGTTTTCCCCTTGGCTCTTAGGATGAGGTGGGCGCACCGGGCATCGTAGTTGGAGTCTCTGTAGATGGAAAAGAAGTCTGGTCAGAAGGTAGGCTCAGAATAGCTTTATTTATTGGCTTGTTTTCTGCCAGTCGGTGAATGAAATCTTGATGTGTTACTGTTCAGAATGAATCCCATGAAGTGGGATACATATTTTTTTTCCATTTATTTTTATTAGTTGGAGGCTAATTACTTTACATCATTGCAGTGGTTTTTGTCATACATTGAAATGAATTAGCCATGGATTTACATGTATTCCCCATCCCGGCCCCCCCTCCCACCTCCCTCTCCACCCGATCCCTCTGGGTCTTCCCAGTGCACCAGGCCCGAGCACTTGTCTCATGCATCCAACCTGGGCTGGTGATCTGTTTCACCCTAGATAATATACATGTTTCGATGCTGTTCTCTTGGAACATCCCACCCTCGCCTTCTCCCAGAGTCCACAAGTCGGTTCTATACATCTGAGTCTATTTTTCGGTTTTGCATATAGGGTTATCATTACCATCTTTCTAAATTCCATATATATGTGTTAGTATACTGTAATGTTCTTTATCTTTCTGGCTTACTTCACTCTGTATAATGGGCTCCAGTTTCATCCATCTCATTAGAACTGATTCAAATGAATTCTTTTTAATGGCTGAGTAATATTCCATGGTGTGGGATACATACTTTAGAGAAAAGTGCCTAACAGAATAAAGAATTGGACTTTATTCTGTGTTGCAATAGAATAGCAAGATTTAAAATGTGACTCTGATGAATAAATTGGAGTCTTAAAGATGCTTTGTTTTTACCCCCACTTTCTTAAAATACTGAATTTATTGCTTTCAAAGTTGTGTATAAAAGTCTGTTAACTGCACGTTTGTAGATAACCCTTATGATTAAATAAAACATCAGGATGTATCGTTTTTCTTTTTTAATTCAGTGAAAAATTTATTGAATCCTCCGTTGTGTAAAATGCACAGTACTAAGAACTGGGGATATACATGATTCCTTTTCCTCAATGAGTTTACAGTCTATTTGTTTTTGTTTTTGACTATACAGGGGTGTCAGCTATATTTTCAGACAAAAAGTTAGCAACTTGGGAAGATAGATTTCTAATTTTTATGATACTTTTATCAAAGAATTTTGTAATTTGATTTACTTTTCCATTGTGCACAAATTGGTCTAACTCATCACAGCAGGTTTTTAGAAACCCAGCTTTTAGGAAATGTTGTTTCAAACATCATTTAAAGGAAGCAGTACTTTTAGAAGTTGATAGGAGCAGTAAGGTTTTGAATTTAAAGAAAAATGATTCTTTGTCCAAGTTTAAGCGTAGCCCAATCAACATTTATGAAAGGTATTATAATTAAAATTATATAAATGTCAGCCCTGTAGGTGAGGGCTTTGTTTTTATGCAAGTATTTTTCTGCATAATCTACATTACATTTACAGGTGAAAATAATTATACCTTTTCATTCTTTTCAGGTCTAAGTTCTTTATATATCTTAGACTGCAACACTTTTATCCTACGGAAGATGAAACCAAACTTAAAATATTTTCTAGAAGGAGCTTTATTTAAGTTAGTTGTTGTTCAGTCAGTCCTGTCTGACTCTTTGTGACCCATGAGTTCTTAGTTTTCTTCTGACCTACAGCTGAATTTAATTGATGATCAGCTTGATTGGTTTTCTGGGGCATCTTTTCACATTTGTTTTATTAGTCTTTTTAAGGGATTTTGTATAAACTCACTAAAAAATCAAGAATAAATATAATCTGAAGAACAATGATGTTTTCCTTAAAGAATGTAATTTATTTGAAATATGGAATAACTGAATTGTTTAGATAAGCTAAGCATTAGTGACTGAATCATAACATTACTGTTTTGCACAGGGTACAATTTCAGCCTTGTTATAAGGTTAAATTGTTAGGCCTACTGTTGTCAGTATTGCTAAGACTCATCCCTTATATGTTCAGTTTTGATTAATTATGCAAGTGGAATAGCTTTTTCTTTTGATAAGCACATAGAATGTTTTAAGATAGTATTATTTCAGTTTTTGAAGACTCCTTTGACCATGAGACCTATTATGACTTTTTGCTTTTTTCTCCCAAAGGTTTAGGTTATGCTGATGTTGAGAACCGTGTACCATGCAAGCCAGAGACAGTTATGAGAATTGCCAGTATCAGCAAAAGCCTCACCATGGTTGCTATTGCCAAACTGTGGGAAGCAGGGAAATTGGATCTTGATATTCCAGTTCAACATTATGTTCCTGAATTCCCAGAAAAAGAATATGAAGGTGAAAAGGTAATGAAGCTCATAGTTCATTTTTCTAATGACATCTAAGTGGTTTAAAAGGTTTCATAAGATTCTTTGATTTATTTTTAAATTTTGTTAATGGATTAAAGTTTTATTTTATCCTGATAATAACTGAGTGGATATTTTTCTGAAATTTGAGGCTAAAGATGTATACATAATAGCAGCAGCTTAAAATGGAAAATATTGCTGAAACATTATTCCAATCCTACTGACTTTTATTATGCAGTTTAATATCGTAGTTGAATTTTCATGTTTTTACTGTTAGGTGTCTGTTACAACAAGATTATTGATTTCCCACTTAAGTGGAATTCGTCATTATGAAAAGGACATGAAAAAGGTGAAAGAAGAGAAAGCTTATAAAGCCTTAAAGATGATGAAAGAGATGATGGAATCTGACCAAGAAAAAGAGTTAAAAGAAAAAGGAGGCAAAAGCAATGAAAAGAATGACTTTGCTAAAGCTAAGGTAGAGCAAGATAGTGAAACCAAAGGCCGAAATTCAAAACCTTGCAAGAAAAAGAATGATTTTGAACAAGGTGAATTATATTTGAAAGAAAAATTTGAAAATTCAATTGAATCTCTAAGATTATTTAAAAATGACCCTTTGTTCTTCAAACCTGGTGAGTGTTAATTTCTTTTTACAAAATCATCATTATTGAATGATTAATTTTCAGAAACTCCAAAATGATACCGTCCTGAATGCATTCAGTGTGGCTGATGATGGCATGGTTTTGTTAGATGCTTGCCTTTGTTGTCTATAGTTCTTAACAAAGCCTAACATTCAGGCAGTTAGTTGTTTGCTTTAACTTCACTGGAGGCTACCTAGACATTTAATGGGTTCTCAGTATCAGGATATTCATGGAAAAAATAAGGTGTTGGAATAGCCCTCCAAATAAAATTTGGACCAAAGTTTGCATGATGAAGCACTGCTGATTTTTTGTATGTTGTTAGTATTTAATATTTAAATTATTCAATTTGTTTTACGCATTCATTTCTTAAATTAGCATACCCCAGCTTAATTTTATTTCCCAAAAATCTGCTCTATAAAAATAATTTTTTTGTGTGGCTTTTGGTGTGATGCCTGCCAAAACCACTTTATCTTTAAATTTATTGCAGGTTTATGTCCTTGTATTCCATTTTCATTTTAAAAGTGGTTTGTGGAAATTCCCTAGAGGTCCATTAGTTAGGACTCCACCCTTCCATGGCAAAGGGCAAGGAGTTCAATCCCTGGTAGGGGCATGGCAAAGAAAACAAAAAGACTAATAAATATATCGATCATTTTATTAACATTCTTGTGTTTGAGACATGGAATAAGCAGGGCCATTGCAAAGTTGACTAAATTTGTTAATATATCATCCATGATCTTCATCTAAATTCTTAAGTATTCTAGTTTTTAAAAAGTGCCAGTTTTCAGTAGGAAAATATTTTGCGTGTTTTTGAATAATAATGAAGCATTTTCTTTTTTTTTTCCCCCTTTGCAATGATGTCTCAAGGTAGTCAGTTTTTGTATTCAACTTTTGGCTATACCCTACTGGCAGCCATAGTAGAAAGAGCTTCAGGATATAAATATTTGGACTATATGCAGAAAATATTCCATGACTTGGATATGCTGACAACTGTGCAGGAGGAAAATGAGCCAGTGATTTACAATAGAGCAAGGTAAATGATTACCTTCTGGTACGTCTGGCTATATTGTGTCTTCACACTATGTTATCAATTTAAAGTCACACTTTGCTTGTCTCCATGCCATAATCAACTTGCCACATTTTGGGAGCTTTTCTTCATGTCTCTCTTTTCCACCTATAATGTAAGTAAAATAAAATACATTTTATTTTTCATATATATACCTATATATATATAGATAGATATATATATGAAGTAATCCAAGGTCCTTAGATAAAAGTTAGCAATAATAATTTAAGCACATGAATAATTAAACTTTTATTGTACCCATCATGGGTATCTATAATTTGATTTTCCATCATCCCTTATGTTTTAGTTAATGTTTTATTTACCTTTTATTATTTTTAATTATTTTTTAAATTTTGAAATTATCTTACACTTATAGAAAAGTTACACAAACTGGTACAAAGAATTTTCATATACTCTTCAACCAGATTCCCCACATGTTAGTTATTTTACCACATTTGCTGTCTGTCTCTATGTTATTTTTTTCTCAGCTGTTTGGAAATCAGTTGGCAATATGGTACCCCTTATACTTAAGTGGTACCCATAAATACTTAAACATGTATTTTCTAAAACAGGGCATTCAGGAAATTAACATCAACATAATGCTTATATCAAATCTACAGACATTATTCAGGTTTTATCAGTTGCCCCAATAATTTCCTTTATAACACAAGGAAAAACATTTTTCTTTCTGGTTCAGGATCTAATCTAGGATCGCAGGTTACATTTAGTCATCAGGTCTCTCATAAGTCACATGAATTCATTGTATTCCTTTACTGGTGATGGTAATTTGACATGGTATATACCAGTTTTCTCCCCTGTAAAACTTTGAAAATCATTTTTTTTTAAAGTAATCAAGCAAAAATGTTGTCATAATTTTTACTAGTAATGTATAAAAAAGGGAGTGAAAGAAAATCTTGTGACTAAAGACTAATATGAGTTTTACAGTTATGGTGTTTTCCATTTTACTCTTATTATTTGGTTGGTTGGAAAGGTAACAACACATTTAACAAATCAACTGTTACTTTTACTTTTTAAGTTTCCATTAGAGAACACACTTTACAAATGACTTAATGATACTTGACTAGATGAAATGGTAGATTTTTTTTAGCTTTATCTCCCATACTAGCTTTGTTCAGTTTTCTGTTATATTTAGTTAAATTACCATTTTTAAATTATCAGCTTATTTAAAAGGATCAAATATGCATTGCAAGTCAGCCTGAAAGAGATTTTTTTGAACCTAAAAGAAATTAGGTTAGCAGCAAGCAATGAATTTTAATTTTTAAGTGACCTGTAGGTTTTTGTTGTTGTTGTTTTGTTCTGTCTTTTTTTTTTAAAGTGTAGTTGATTTACAATGTTGTGCTAATTTCTGCTATATAGCAAAGAGACTCAGTTATACACATATACACATTCTTTATTTAATCTTCTTTTCTATTATGGTGTATCCCAGGAGATTGGATATATTTCTCTGTGCTGTATTAGTAGGACCTTGTTTATCCGTTCTAAATGTAATAGTTTGCCTCAACTAACCCCAAGCTCCCAGTTCATTCCTCTGCCTCCTCACCTCCCCTTTGGCAACCACAAGCCTGTTCTCTATGTCTGCGAGTCTGTTTCTGATTTGTAAATAGGTTCATACATGCAGTATTTTAGAGTCCATATATAAGTGATATCGTATGGTATTTGTCTTTCTCTTCCTGACTTACTTTACTTAGTATGATAATCTCTGGTTATATCCATGTTGCTACAAATGACATTATTTCTTTTTTTATGGTTGAGTATACATCGTGTGTGTGTGTGTGTGTGTGTGTGTATACACACCACATCTTTATTTATTCGTTGATGGACATTTAGATTATTTCCATGTCTTGGCTATTGCAAACAGTGCTTCTATGAACATAGGGGTGCATGTATCTTTTTGAATTATGGTCTTGTCTGAGTATATGCGGAAGAGTGGGATTACTGGATCATGTGGCAATTCTATTTTTAATTTTTTGAGGAACCTCCTTACTCTTCTCCATAGTGGCCACACTAACTTACATTCCCACCAACAGTGTAGGAGGGTTCCCTTTTCTCCATACCCTCTCCAGCATTTGTTATTTGTAAACACTTTAACAATGGAAATGACCTGTAGTTTTCAGACAATACTTATTATATCTAGGTCCATATTATATTCTCCTGGAAACATAAGAAAAAAATAACACCTGAAGTTATCAGTTGAATCTAGAAAACATTCTTGTAATGTTGGCATAGATTCATAACCTTATTTTGAGTTAAATCTAGGCATTTGATAACAAATACCTACTCTTCTATATAAGGGAGAATCACTGAGCCTCTTTTCTCAACTGAAAATTAAGCCTCCATGAATGTACAGACTGCAAGTCAGCTGTTGTTTGTTTTCTTAGTAAGTAATGTACAAATACCAAAACATGGCATGTGACAGTGAGTTAATTTCATCTTATTGCCCATTCTTTGAGAAAAGGCAGTGGGTTTCTGTTTCTACCGTTAAAGGTTTCCATCAGCTCTGGGATTTTCTTTATTTTTGCTTGTGCCCAGTGGTGCTAAAGGAGTAAGTGATTCATTTTAGGTAGATTAAATGGGCTACAGAAATAAAATAGGACACTAAAAGAAGGAGGAAATGTTGTTACAAAGGAAAATGTTCTGTCCATTTTCTTTGTTTTTATTTCACTTGGTAGAATTTATATTTGGGCCTCTAGAAGCTCAACTCTGATTCTTTTTTATTTTTGTAATAATTATTTCAAAAGGGCTTAGAGGCACCAGCTTCGAGTGGAAGTGCAGGGAGAAAAAGAAATCTTCTCAAAGATGTATGTTTAAAAAAAATAATAAAAAACCTTCAAGTAAAACTTAGTAATTGCTTATGTTTCTATTTGTTTTATGGGACAATTTTAACAAGAAATAAAATTTCGAGCAAAAGTTTGCAGCTTTGTTATCTAGTCTACTGACCCCTTGGTATAATCATAAATATGTTTGTATTATCCTGATCTAGGCTTTTTAGAGTTACTGTGTCCCAGAAGTAAATATTTCTATATTCTTTATCACTTCTCTGTGTGAATGTGTGTGTGTCTTTAAAATAGTGCCTCACAGTATCTGTCACCTGTTTGAGGTATTTTCCCAGAATCCCACCCCAAAATATTACCTACATTTCTTTGGCCAGAATTTTAGTATCAGGGAACATTCAGCTGTAATGAATGCAGAGAAATCCGCTTTTAGCTGGGTGCATTGTTGTCCTGAGTGAAACTGGGGTTTCTTGAAGGATAGGAACATTGATTCTGTATATGCAAATAGATACATTTATTCTGTATTTCAAGTATACTCTGTATAAGCAGGTAAACTAAATAACCCTTTAAGCAAAAACCCATAGGGAAATGGAATGAATGTTCTTGCCACTGAAGGACACTGTTGATGGGGGAATCCTTAGTCAATGCATTAGCTTATTATTAGACACTATTCATATTTTCTCTGTTTGGCATAATACTTGCAACAAAGATCTCTTTCATAATTGGATAGGACCAAAATCAAATAAAATGTTTTCTGAAGTGTTTGCTGTATTTTGATAGTATAAATATGGTCTTTACCTTCTCTTATTGTCTTTATTGTTAATTATTTTTATTTTCTCAAGTATCTTCTAAGATTAAGCATTGTTCCTTGTGAAGCTTTGTTTTATGCCTTTAGCCTATGGACTCTCTGGTAGTAGATTCAGCCCACATTAATGCTAAATGTTAGAGTGGGATTGGTTTGTATAATATGCATATTAAGTTCTATGGGTTTTTTTAACTTCTTAAAGCAATAAAATACAAAGTGATGCATAATTATTTGTAAAGGCATTTAAAAAGGATTTAAAATTATTTTGCATTTATAAGCTTCTAGATGTAGATTTCTATAGTACTATAATGTTGTTGTGCAGAAACTATAGAGATTCTTCAGGATGACTGTTTGGCATCATTCCATCAATTATTCAGTTACAAAGATACTCCAGTAATTTAAGAACTTGTGTCCATAATTCCATTCTTTTAGTGCAGAAATTACTTAAGAATTTGAAATAGTGAAGTTATCATTCAACTGATCAAGATTATTTTCATGAGAAGTCATTAATTTGTCCTCTATAAAAATGAATCAAAAGATTAAAGCTTAGAATTTATTTTAAAAGAGGAGTCATCCTAATTTCCAGCCTTGATGTAAGTGCTTTGAAATGCTGCATTAAGTTGTATAATGCAAAGCTGATTATTAACCAAAATAGATTTGTAGGTCTCTCCTAGTTTACAAACTTGGAGATCACTCTAACAAATATATTTTTCATTGAGAAACCTATTTTTATTATTCTATCATGTGATTTTTTTGAAATTTGATTGACTGGAAATACAAGTGTAATCAGAGTTCAGGCAAAAAGTAATGAGGACCTAAAATACAAGAGTGGCTATAGGAATGAAAGGAAGGGAGAAAGATTAGACAGAAAGCTAAGGTTGAATGATGGGATTTGTCATTGCTGAATGTGAGAGTTGAGGGCAAGAGAGGCAAGAAAGATCTTAATGGAGAGGAGAAATATGAGAAGATTCAAAGGAGATCACTTCTGGACATGTTCATTTTGCAAAATGAGAAGACAATATCTCAAATCATTGGCTCTCCGGGGAGTATACTTAGATCCTCTGAAGACTTTTTTAATCTTCAGAGCGTATACCTGTGGTCACCCCTGCTTCACCCAATATTATGACTTGGACTTTTGGGAGACATATAGGAATCATGACAGAAGAAAGAGGAGTCATTTTTCAAATTATGTGCCCACTATCCTTCAGAGTTATGAATTTTGAAGGGAGGGATGAGGCCCCACTACTCATTCTGGTAAACATCGAGAAACAAATTTGAGAATCATAAATGCTAGTAGAAAATCCGGTGGTAAATTTGGAACAGGGATTGTGGTACAGCTGCAGTTTTGTAGTTAATTCCTATAGAAAGAAGACCTGGGACCCTGGAACCCCTGGTGATGGGAGGGATCTGGAGAATCATGGGACTGAGAGCTAGAAGAGAGCGCACAGAGCAAAGTGGCCTGTGGGGAGTGTCAGTGATGTGGTGGGTCACAGTGCTACAAGGGAAGCTAGAATGAGGGGAATTAGAAGATCCTTGATAACACGCAAGAGAGCTGTTTAGTAGAGATGAGGGAACGAAAGCCATATTCTAAGGAACTGAATGAATGGAGAGGTGAGTGCATGAAAACAGCAGGTGTGGACTGTTTCGTGTAGTTTGACAATATATGAGAGTGAAAAGACTGGAAACTGAAAGTTGTAATGAGGATAAGGAAAAAAAGTGTTTCGTTTTTTTCCCCCTTAGCATATAGAAAACTAGAGCATTTTGTGAACTCAGGTGAAGGTGTCAAAATTCCTATCATGGCAAGGAAAGCCTTTGTGACGTGTGCCCTGTCCCATGTCTAATCCTCTGGCATCACCTTTTGAAGCGCTGTCTGCTTCAGTCAAACTGAACTCTTGCTCCCCAGCAGAGTGAGGAACCATTTCAACAAGTCTTGCTCTCACTAGTGCTCAGGGTTCCTCACATCCATCTTGCTAGTCTTCCCACAACCTGTTACTCAAAGCAGTATTGGCATCACTTGGGAGCTTGCTAGAACTGCAGTATTTGGGGCCCTCCCCAGACCTACTGAAGCGGAATCTGCATTTTAACAAAATCTCCAGGCGATTCATATGGTGCTCTAAAATTTAAGAACTGTCCAACAAGACTGTTTGCCTTTGAGAGCAGCCACAGTGTATGGTTTTTCTTTTCTCTCCAATGCCTTGCAAGGAGTCTCCATTAAGTACTTGGCCAACAAATGATGCTTTCACGTGTTCAACATATTTCACAGTACTCAGTGGATGTCTAGTACTGTTCTAGATGGGGGAAATATCAATGAACCAGGTAGATAAGATTCCTGCCCTTATGAAACTTACATTCTATGGAAATGTAAAATAAGAATCTCCTATATTGATATGAAGAAAATAGAACAGAGCACTGGGATATACAGGAAGAGGCTGTTAAGGGGAGGTCTATTTAAAATATATTGGTTTTAGGCCATGTCAGTTGAATTGAAACATGAATAATGAAAGCTATGAAGGAGGACAAGATGTTGTAAGTGATGAGGTCAGAGAGGTAAGCAAGGGCTAAATTATATTGGACAGTGAGTATCAGTGCCTTTAGACCCACTGCCCCTTACTTTAACAACATGTTTTAACACTTCCCTTATTATCTGAAATGAAAATAGGAAATCATATAACCTATATTCAATATTCTAACTAAAATGTAAAAAAAGAAATACAAGGAATATTATATAACAGATGAATATGGTATATAATAGATGTATCAATATGATAATGTTTACTTACCACAACATGCAAAGATGTAACAAAGTCAACTGCAACTTAATATGTAAAATTATTTTAAATGTGACAAGTAAATGCAGACCAGTAGAGGTTTATTGCATTTGGTGCTTCAACTCATGTCCTTAGTAGCTAACTCTGGCTAAAGTTTTGAGCAAAATACAGTGTGGTCTTCAATTTTCACAAAGGCTGCACTCAAGAATTCATCTTAGAGTAAAAATGTGCCAAAAGTAGTTTGTATTTACATATAAAATGAAAGAGGTTCTAGACTCAACTAGTTATAAACAGATTTTATTTTGCTTACATGAACATCTGGTAGGATGGTTGATCTCACAGGATATAGATACAGGAGAATGCACCATGGTATGGGACTTTCCCATACACCACAGGGCATTTAGGACCCTTAGGCCCCTACCCCATAAGTCTTGAGTAATAGCCATCCAATAATTGTGACAGCTAAAAAACATGCCTCTCACAATTTCCCTTGGGGAGCTAGTCCTGCCTCTACTGAAGGTCATTGACTATGTCATAGACTGTTGTGAGAAATTTGGGTTTTATTCTCATTACATTCATAACCATTGGAGAGTTTTTTAATGGCTGGGAAGAGGAGGCACAATCTGTGGCTTCTGCCTGGAGGGCAAACTGCAAGGAGATACTACAATCTAGGAAGTATAACTGGTGAAACAAGGTTGTAAAGGTGATAGGAGGTGGTCAAAGATGCTGGTAGTAGAATTACTCTTGAAAACAATAGGGAATTTTTTTTTATAGATTGCATGATGATGTAAATGCATTTTAAGATGAAGATGGGAGTTTCTAGCTCACTTTGGATGGTCTCAATCTTCTCAGTAAAACAAGGAATATAGTTATCTGCTGACTAAGCCTGAAGTAGGATAGGAGACTGAGGGTGGGATTGGGGGTCCCAACTATGAAGAGTGCACCAGGGAGTGGGGCTTCCCTGGCTGGCTTAGTGGTAAAGAATCTGCCTGCAATGCAGAAGACATGGGTTCGATCCCTGGGTTGGGAAGATCCCCTGGAGAAGGAAATGGCAACCCACTCCAATATTCTTGCCTGGGAGATTTCATGGACAGAGGAGCCTGGTAGGCTATCGCCCATGGGGTTGCAAACAGTTGGACACAACTTAGCGACTACAACAACACCACCACCAGGGAGTACCCAGGAAAAGAACAGAAAGATTTGAGAGCAACAGCAAAGACCCTTAGCACGAGCATGAATTTATAACAGTCAGCTTTGTTGTATGAATTCCTGCAACCTTTCTTGGTAGATCCGGGGTACCTAGGTTTATTCAGGATTAATGGATTGGTATAGTGTAAAATCAGAACAGTGAGAAACCGCAAGATGTGGCCTCACTAAAGACCACAATTGAAATAGTTGAAATGACTGATGATATAGTTCAGCCTAGAAGAGAAAATCAGAGGAAACCACTAGAAACTAAAAGACCTGGGAAAATTGAGAAGATTCAATGGGCATGGATGAAGGTGCCATTGAGGGCAGAGAGCAGGTTCATTTGGAGAGCTGGAAGGGTTGAAAGTCATAGTCATAGGAAGAAATTTCTGAGTTTGAGACCCTAGTGATAACAGTTTAAAGTGATGGTGAGATTCAGGTCTAACTGTGCTTATGAATAGCCAAGCATGGATGAAGATGAGAGTAATTAAAGGTGAGACTCTCAGCAAACTGAGAACCCAAGAGTACCATTTTATTATGAATCTTGAAAGGCAGGAGCCTCAAGAGTTGTGTCCTTTATTTATTTTGTGATTTCATTTTATGTACCTAATGTTTATGGTACAGTCTCCTCATATTAGAATGGAAACCTCATGAGGTTAGTCTCTTTTGTTTTACACCTTATCCTAGCATCCAAACAGTGCCTGGCACATAGTATGTGTTCCATCAATAACCGTTGAATACTTAAGTGAGTAAACGTTTATTAAGTACCTATTAGAAATATGCATCGAGAAGGAAATGGCAACCCACTCCAGTGTTCTTGCCTGGAGAATCCCAGGGACAGGGGAGCCTGGTGGCTGCCGTCTGTGGGGTCGCACAGAGTCAGACACGACTGAAGTGACTTAGCAGCAGCAGCAGAAATATGCAGAGTGTTTTATATATTTATTTTCTAACTCTGCAAAGTAGATATTTTTGTCCCCATTTTAGAAGTTAGCACGGAAGCAGAGAGGCAACAGATTGCCTAGATTTTAATCCAATTCTGCCACTTATAAACTGTGTGGCTTTGGACAAGTTATGTATATTCTCTGTGCCTTAGGAATTGTAATAGTACCTATCTCCTAACATTGTTACAGGAAGAAATTAGTTCATATGTCTATATTTCTTAGAACAATACCTGGAACATAGTAAGAAGTTTATATGTATTTATTAATCAAATAAAATAAACATAGCTATTAAGGGTGAGAGTTGGGATTCAGGCTGAGATTTGCTAACTCCTACTGCTTCCACTACACCAAGAAAGTACCACATCCCATCATTATACGTAGTATTTCTATGTTATTTTTAACCAGGAGATGTAGTCTTCTTATAAATGTTAACCTTATTCCTGAACATCCCAATAGTATGTTTTTAGTTATAAAATTTACGTGTAGCACCATGGTTCCCTGAGCCCAGAAACTAAAAATATCTACCAAACATTAGGTGTTTCTGCATATGCACAGGACAAATATATATCACATGTACTAATCAGTACATCTTTTAACAGTATTAGAAGTTTCATATACTCAGCATGGGCAAGCCTTGCCAATAGAAAAAACAATCTGCTTTCTATACTCAGTAACTTGTGTTTCATTTTATTTGAATCATACTGAAAACTAGTGGTTACTTTCTGAGAAAATATATTCACTACAATGAAATACAATCTGTCTCATGTATACATTTTTCTATTCATCTTCATGTATGAAGTCAATACTAGACTATCACATTTTTAATGACTATTCTTATTTCATTTTAGATTTTATGTTTACAATAAAAAGAAACGCCTTGTCAACACACCTTACGTGGATAACTCCTATAAATGGGCTGGTGGTGGATTTCTGTCTACAGTGGGTGACCTTCTGAAATTTGGGAATGCGATGCTGTATGGTTACCAAGTCGGGCTGTTTAAGAACTCAAATGAAAATCTTTTACCTGGATATCTTAAACCAGAAACAATGCTTATGATTTGGACACCAGTCCCTAATACAGAGATGTCTTGGGATAAAGAGGGTAAATACGCGATGGCATGGGGCGTGGTGGAAAAGAAGCAGACATATGGCTCTTGCAGGAAGCAGCGGCACTACGCCTCCCACACCGGGGGCGCAGTGGGTGCAAGTAGTGTCCTGCTGGTCCTTCCCGAAGAACTGGATGCAGACGCTCTAAATAACAAGGTCCCCCCAAGAGGAATAGTTGTTTCTATCATATGTAACATGCAGTCTGTTGGCCTCAACAGCACTGCTTTAAAGATTGCTCTGGAATTTGATAAAGACAGATCAGATGTACCTTAACATCACAGGTGCAAAACAAGCTGTTACGGTTTTGTTTTTGTTTGTTGGTTTTTTGTTTTGTTTTGTTTTGAAACATTGAAGTCCCCAAATACATGCAATTTTAAAGAGTAAATTTGTAATAGAGTATAACTGAATGCAGAGAATTATGTACCTCTAATTGCCTACTTTTGTAATTGTCTTTTATTGGAGGATGAGTTCTTTATACTCAGGGAAGTAACTATATTTTTACTTTTTGAAAAAAGTGTTAACTCTTGAAATAAAATATTCTGATAAAAATGTACTTTCTGAATGTGTAATATAGAGGAAATCTCATTCAACAGCAGACTGAAAATATTGTTCTTTTAATGTGACAGCAGATGGTCCTTCCCTTGTGGTCCAGTGGCTAAGATTCTGTGCACCCAATGCAGGAGATCCAGGTTCAATCCCTGGTCAGGGAAATAGATCCCACATGCTGCAACTAAAGATCTTGCATGCCACAACCAAGACCTGCCACACCCAACCAAATAAATAAATATGTTTTAAAAAGAAAAAAAGACAGCAGAAACAAGATTGTGAGAAATGGTATATTAGTTCTCTATTGCAGCTTAAAAGAACACACGTTTATTATCCCATGGTTTCTTAAGCTCAAGAATTCAGCAGTAGCTTGACTGGATGGATCTGGCACCAGAGTCTCTAATGAGGGTGCAGACAATATGTTGTAGTCATCTGAAGGCTTCTGGTCCCAGAGGAAATGTTTCCCAAATGCTCATTCACTCACAGATTTTAAGATTTGTGAACTAAAGATATTATTTGCTCCCCAACCAGACACAGGTTGGCAGCTGCTTGATTAGTGCTCAAGGCCTAAAAATATTTCTTGGCTCTTGGCTGTGTTCTCTAAACTCTTGGCTCTGTCCTCTGAATTTTTCTTTTCATGAAAGGCAACATGTGTTTGCATCCAAGTGGCTTTCTCAGCCTGCTTTCACTTTTGGCCACACCAAGTCACAGGTGGAATCTTGGCTCCTAACCAGGGATCCAACCTGTGCCCCCAGCAGTGGAAGCGGAGATTCTTAATGACTGGACCACCAGGGAAGTCCTACAACCTGCTTTCCTACTTGTACAAGTTTGAGGGTCTAAAGGCCTCTCTTATAGTCTCCTTTCAGTCTAACTTAACAGTTTCCCTGCTAATGTAATTTTTTAAAACTCTGTGAGTCCCTTACAAATCTCACTGGGGTTCATGCTAATAAACAGAAGCTGTGCCCCCAAATCTCTTCGAACTAAACCCCTAACTTGGAGAAAACACTGTTAAACTTCTATTAAGACCTATTGTTAAAATAGCTCTCAAGACACCATCTTGCTTCTTTCCACAGTCATAAAGGATCTTATATATCATACCCTCAATTTCATCTTTAGACTGTTTTTTGTTTTGTTTTCTGAAAGTGTCCTAATTTTATCCTAATTTTATCTTTGCCTTGAAGCCATTTTTTAATTTTAGCATCTTTTGTCACTTGGAGAGTCTGGGAAATTTCTAAACCATCAGTTATTGATGCCTTTTTTTTTTTGTTTAGTAGCCCTTCCTTTAGCTTGTCTCTCTCCTGCTTTGTAGTATGAGTAACAAGAAGAAGCCAAGAGTCAATACTGGGTCTGGAAATCTCAGCTTGATTACCTAGTTCATTAGGCACATTTTCTACTTTCTGTGGTCTTGCAGGCAATAGTGTTGCTAAACTTCCTGCCACTTCACAGCAGTAATCTTTCTTCCAATTTCCAGTAACATTTTCTTACTCTCCTTTAAGTCCATACTTGCAGCCTCTTCAAAGGCCATCATACTTCTAAACAGTTTCTTCAAGGCTCCTCAGGCATTCACTGACAATCTTTTCAAAATCCTTCCAACTTCTATTCACTGTTCTAAGTTTACTCCCCCATTTTGGGCTTTTGTTATAGCTGCACTCTCCTTCCAGGTATCAAAATCTACAATGTAAAAAGTATTTCAGATACAATTCACAATTCATATACTTTAAAAGTCCTTTAAAGTGTCCAATTTAGTGGTTTTAGTATATTCACAAGATTGTGTGCCCATTCAATTCCAGAATATCTTCACCCAAAAAAGGAATCTTAAACCCATTAACATTTGCTGTGCATTCCTCTCTACTCCCAGGCCCTGACAACCACCGATCTAGTCTCTGTCTCTTTGGATTTGCCCATTATGGGTATTTTGTATAACTGGAATTATAATATGTGGCCTTCTGTGTCTGGCTTCTTTAACTGTAATGTGCATTAATTATCTATTGCTGCGTAATTACTGTATCTCAAAAATTCTCTCTTTTATACGTTTGGGAGCATTTTAGCTGAGCAGTTCTAGCTCACGGTCTCTCCTGTGGCTGCAGACAAGATGTCAGAAGGACTTTCAGCCACCTGAAGGCTAGAGTGAGGCTAGAGGATCTAATTCCAAGACAGTTCAGCCATGTGGCTATCAGCAAGAAGCTTCTGTCACTTGCTGGCTTTTGGGAAGAGGTCTCAGTGTCTCACTACGTGGACTTCTCCATAGGTCTGCTTGACTGTCCTATGGCTTCCCTCAGATTGAGTGATTAAAGAGAGAAGGCAAAAGCCACAGTGTCTTTTATAATCTAGCCTTGAAGACCATACAGTAACAGTACTACCTGTGCCAATTTCTCCTGAGCACACAGACCAACCCTGATTCAGTGTGAGGGAGCTACACAAAGGCTGAATAAATACCAGAAGGTAAGGCTCATTGGGAGTCATCTTGGGAGACTGGCTCCGTGGATGGCTTATTATAGTGTTGACATACTGGGAAACTTTGTTGTAACAGTCATAGATGATCAGTATTGGAGACTATACTGAATTTGGGGAAATTCAAAAAGCAGTGAAAGTTTTTTTATTCTCAAATAAAAGAGTCCTGTTCTATAGTTCTGAGCTCTCAGCCTGTTTCTTCACTCCACTTTGATCCATAGAGGTAAGTAGATGGGTATTTCTGAGAGGTCAAAATACAGACAGCAACTCCCTACAACAGATCCATTTCATCTCCTTATTTCTTTCTGGCTTCTGACTTCTAGGTCTTCTATTCATATTTGTCAAATTTTTCAGTCCATACTTCTTTGATAAATAGAAAATGCCTTCCTTTAATGTTATTCTTTAAATTTTAAACATTAATTATTATGACAAAAGGGAAATCAAACTAACAGCAAGTTAAAAAAATATTTCTGATAAAAATATGTTTTTGGACTTCCTTGGTGGTCCAGTAGTTAAGAACCCACTTATCAGTGCAGGGGGTGTGGTTTCAATCCCTTTTCTGGGAACTAAGATCATATATGCTGTGCACTACAGACAAAAACAAGTTTTTTCTTTAATAATCATGTTTTCAGTTTGATCATGTGATACCAATGTGAGCTTTGAACCTTAACACAGACCATAGAGCGAAATGCTTGGACCTCCCAAGTAGGTGACATTTACCCTGGGAGAGAAGGAAAGCGCATTGTCTGAATGTTGGAGAGAAGTGCAATGTGACTGAACTGTCTGAGGGGGTACAGCCACAAAGTGTGAAGAGATCTGTGAAGTTGGTTAATGTGTACTATGAACAGGGCACTTGCTTTAGACTAGTTTTTCACTTTTTAGGATTCTTGTTGAAGCTATGAGAAAGAGCTGGAAACTTTCTCAAAGTGAACCAATGTACAAATGTCAGGGGTTCACTGACTCCACATTAAGAATTCCTATTTACCATAATAACTTATTTTCTTACTTAATGCTTTGATAAATGCTGGATAGAAATGTTAGAAGTGCTTTGATAAATTTCCTCATCTCCCAAAGTGGTAATTGTAGTGTGACTGATCTTTAGGGAAAAGAACTCAGGAGAATTTGACACAAGTTGCTTGCATTTTTGTTTTTGTTTTCTGCAATTTACAACTTGTCAAGGGTGGTTATTGGCTACAAATGATTTGCTTTACCTTCCTGTGGTAGAATAAAATATTTCAAAATTCTGCTCCAGATTTGAAAGTTGAGGTTCTAGAAATATGTCTTTGTAGTTTTTATAGAAAAACTGTAAATCTTAATTTAGATGGGTTAGAGTTTATTATTGCATTTTATTAAGAAAGAAGTTGCTTTTATAGGATAATAACCTCTACTTATAACCTTTAGGATTTTACAGCTACATTTTCACAACTATAGGCATAAAGAATTATATTGTTATTTGCTATTAATTCAGGTTTAAATAGTCTGAGTTCTATTCTTAGGAGATACTGGAATAACTACTTGATATTTTGTTTTGCCTTGGCTGTGCCATGAGGCTTTTGGATCTCAGTACCCCAACCAGGGGTTGAACCTGGGCCCTTGGCAGTGAGAGCACAGAGTCCTAACCACTGGACCACCAGGGAGTTCCCCTGATCATTTATTTGTGTGGGGAAAAAAAACACTAGAAAGCATGAAAGTTTCACATTGCAAATACCCATGTAATCCCAATACCCAGAGTTAAAAATGCTAACATTTAGTCAAATTTTCTTCATTTAAAAATAATAACGAGTAAAACTTAATAGATAAAACTGAAGACCCCTAGAACCATCACCCAAAGCCCCACTACTTTTGCCCTGCAGGGACCTGCTGTCAGAAGTTGGTATATATTCATCCACTCCCTTGTTTAATACTTTCACAGCCAAGTATATACATATATTCTATGTGTATATTATGCATACTATGGTGCTATTTGTATAAATGTAAATAAAACATTTTCTACATTGCCTTTTTAAATTTAACATTGTTTTTTGTGATCTGCTCAAGTTGATAAATATAAATCCAGTTTATTTTCACTGCTATAAAATATAATATTGTATGACTATATCACATTACATGGGCTTCCCTGGTGGCTCAGCAGTAAAGAATCTGCCTGCCAATGCAGGAGATGTAAGAGACACAGGTTTAATCCATGGTTCAGGAAGATCCCTTGGAGAAGGAAATGGCAGCCCACTCTAGTATTCTTGCCTGGGAAATCCCATGGACAGAGGAGCCTGGTGGGCTAC